TTTTTAACTCTAAAAAAAAAAAAAACAAATCCATGGAAGGCCAAGACACCCAGCGGCAGCGCAGGAGCCACGGAGCTGTGGTTCTCTCGTCCCTTGGGCTGGTGACAATCCTTCGGCCCAAGCAAGGAAAACCAGGCGTGAGGAGGGACCTTCACATCCCGGCTGCCGGAGGCTTCCGAAGGAGGGCAGCTGGCCTCGGTCCTCAGCCCAAGGAGGCCGCTGCGGGCGAGGGAGACCCCCAGGCTCAGGCTGCCCGCCGAGGAGCCGAGGGCTCGCTATGATTTACTCCTTTCGGGTCTCTCCAGTGCTGTTTCAGACCGAATCCCATTTTTACACATTTTTGTCATCTGTTTACAGAATCAGGAATAAAGTTCGCCCTCCCAAGGATAACTGTGTCATTCTACTGCGATCACATCGCCACCAGGAAGCGAATCGAGCCACACAAAACCCAACCCCCGGCATTTTCAAACCCTCCTTCCCACTGCCGTCCCGCGCAGACCCGTGAGAGAGATCTCTGCCTCACGTACAGCAGCAGTGTCACCCCACGGCGCCGCGGAGAACGGGCCTGGGAGGCGGGTAGGAAAGGAAAAGGACATGTCCCTCCCCACTGTAGGGGAAGGCGGACAAGGAGGGAGAGATTAGACAGGATTGGTAAGTCTTTGGTGGTGGTGGCAGTTTGGGGTTTATTTTTTTTTTTACAAAGAAAAAATACAACAAAGAAAAACCACAAACATAAAAGGGAAAAACCCACAGGAAAATAAATAAAATTTTAAAAAAAAACACTAATCATTTTTCACGTAGCCCAAAGCCAAAATTCTTAAGAAATACGGCGCTGGGGCGTGCAGGCACGGGAAGAGCGACGTCCTAACGGCCTCCGAGGTAAGATCGTCGTTTTCCTACGTCGCCCTACCCCGAAGCTGCCGTCACCATTGCCACAGCAGCACTCGGGGTTTCCCTTCAGCAAACAGCCAAGCCCCACGCCCGTCACCCTCCCGAGGGGACCAAGTCACGAGGGGTCACCAGAAAAGCGCCAAGACCCAGGTCACCCGGTGCTGTCACACCGCGCTATTCCGAACTGGAGCCCACGGCGGGGCAGGAGGAGCC